GTTTTCCAGAAAAAATATTTGGTTAAGTGAAACTATAAAGGTGACCGCCGCCTCAACAACCTAGAATTCTGGAGAAAACCAGGCCCCAGAGGATGAAGAGAGAAAGGACAAGATGCCTTCTCTTTCTGTTCTCTCAGCCTTTCCCACAAGGTCACTATTTCTTTTTTTTTTTTTTTTTTTTAATTTATTTATTTCTTAAACATATAATATCTTTTTATCCCCAGGGGTACAGGTCTGTGAATCGCCAGGTTTACACACTTCACAGCACTCACCAAGGGTCACTATTTCTAACTGACAAGCCAAATAATTTTAGTTGGTAGCTGATAAGAAAGCCAATTAAATTTCATTTGGTTTGAAAAAGCGTTCCAATATGTTTATGAATTGATCTAAACTCATTCTAGGAAATTTAACATTACATATATTTCTTCTACTGCTTTGTGTTTCCTCAGTGAAGAATATCTTAAGACAAAAATAAAAAGCACTGGAAACAACGAAAAGGTGCACACCTTAAATGGGGAAAGGATTTATACTTCTTTACAAGGATTTTAACAGTTTGAAGACACAAGCTGAGAGCCAATTTTTTCTTTGAGAAATTCCATGTAGTCATTTTCCTATCATGATTCATTTTAACTACTAGGGACATAATTTTTTTAATTCTATAAATTATACATCATAATGGTGACATAACCTCTCTATTAAAAACCTAATGATGAAAATGAACACTTACTAAAAATTTCTAGTAAGTTCAGGAAAATCAACCAAAGTAGCTTCACAACAAAAGTCAAGTTAAATGGACGTCCATTTTTCCTTACTCCCTCATGTCAGCAATGGTATATACACTACACATACTCTTATTTACTTAGGAGAAAAAAAAATGTGTTATGTGTGTGTGTGTATGTATGTATTTACTTTAAGATATATTTATTTATTTGAAAGAGAGCACATGTGCAGGGGGAGAGGCAAAGAGAATCAGGAGAAGGAGAGAGAGAATCCAAAGCAGACTCCTCACTGAGCACAGAGCCCCACTTGGAGATCTCATGACCCTGAGATCATGACCTGAGCTGAAATGAAGAGTCAGTCGTTTAACAAACTTAGCCACCCAGGTGCCCCTGGAGAAAAATATTTAAAACTTTTGTTATGACAAATCCAATACACACTTTGTGAGCATGGACCCACACAAATGCTTGCCATTAAAACATCTTCTTTGGCATAAAACAGTCTTAAAATGCTGACAGTAATAATGTGGTGCGTTCTTACTCTAGGATTGTTGTGTGTAGGCTTTGGGATAAAATAGATGAGGAATTACTTTGGTGTCTCTAGGACCTGTGATTTCCAATATGGCAAAAGGAGAAACACACATAAGGTACATGAGTTAAAATTAAAATGCTCCCGGTAGCCCTGAACCTGAATTGGAAATTTTAGTTTGAAGGCATAATGATTTTATCTTTAAACAATACATACAGCATATATTGTTTCTATGTTAGCTATGTCCAATGAAATCACCAAGAAACAAAAACAAGCTTCGTAGCAATGAGCCCAAGATTATGCTCTCTTAAATACTAAAAGGACCAAAATTCTTTGGAGAAATGTCTGGATCCAGGTTTGCATCACAATACATACAAGAAGAGCTGAATCATCCTATAATACCAAGAATCAAAGAAGCTATCCAAAATTACTAGCGGCTTATAGGAGGACTCCAAAACCAATTTGAAGAGAGTCCACTAGCACAAAATAGGACACTTTGAACATAGAGACATAAGTCTCATGGACTAAATATGTTAATATGTAAATATTAATAATAATAAACTTACTGGTCACTTTTGCAGATATCATGGGACTGATGCCTTAGAACCTGTAAAGAAAAAGGATTGGTACTATCTTCTATCTCTTTAAAAAAATGGCTAATGAGGACAAGTTTCTCTTTATAAAGCTTCAACAAATATAAGTGAAAAAAATGATGAAATATCACCATTTTGCAACATCTAATGAATTATTGGATTTAGACAATGATCATTAATGACTGCCAACATAAAAAGAGAAAACTAGACAGTATTCCTGCTGATAGAAATACCACCTATTGGTCTCAGTAAGAAGCAATATGACCTGAATCTAATAAAGAAAGGCTCAATATAGAAATACCAATGAACAAAAAAACATCATGGGGGGACAAGTAGCAAAAATCAGATTGTAGAATACTCTATCGGACAAATGACTGTTTTTTTTTTTTTTCAATAATAGACAGCAGGGGAATGATATAGGTTCAGAGAAATACAGAAGACATGTCAATTAATTGTAACGTACAGACCTTAGGCTAATCCTGATTTGAGCAATGTATGTATCTTAATGCTAATCCTAATTCAAGTTAAATTTTAAAAATATTAATAAGATTACTGGAGAAATTTGAAAAACTATATAATGTTATTAAAGAAATATTGCTGGTCTTTATGTAGGACAATGACATTGTATTTCTTTATCTTCTACAGATACATGCTGAAATGTTAATGAATGAAATAATATGATGTCTGTCACTTGCTTCAAGAAAGAAAGAAAGTGGGCGCCTGGGTGGCTCAGTGGGTTGAGCCACTGCCTTCAGCTCGGGTCATGATCTCAGGGTCCTGGGATTGAGTCCCGTGTCGGGCTCTCTGCTCAGCAGTGAGCCTGCTTCCCTCTCTCTCTATCTGCCTGCCTCTCCGTCTACTTGTGATCTCTTTCTGTCAAATAAATAAATAAAATCTTAAAAAAAAAGAAAGAAAGAAAGAAAGAAAGTATAGGGATATAGATGAAACAATATTGGCCATGAGTTAATAATTATTCAACTTGAGCAGTAAATATACAGAGGTTCATTACACCATTAGTCTCTCTAGTTTATAATTTTGACATTTTCCTTCATAAAAAGTTAAGAAACATTCTTAAATGGTTTGGCCAAGAACAACAGATCACTATGGGAAATCCTTAAACAATAAAATTCATATTGCTAAAGTTAGGATACAGATTTAAATCACAGAGCTGATAACAGGTCATTGAGGCCATTTGGTCAACCTTTTGTCATCCAACCAGATTTCACCAAAACCATCCATTCTGTTAATTTCTAAAACACTAGCACGGTTGTCTTTATCAATTTGGTTGCAATACTCCATGTTGCAACCAGACATGAATAGACACAGTGAGGAAAACAGAAGGAAGCATTTAAAAAATCAATTTGCCTCTCCCCTTTTTATTTTGGTAACCTTACCAATTGAATGATATCTGCAAATTAATTTTATCAAGCAAGATTTTTCCCATTATACAAACAGCTTTCCTCATCACAACCAGTAGGAAAATTGAGTCTTCCAAAGCTATTCTCTCCCAATTCTTGCTATACAATCCACACATCTGTGACACTGTACTGTCTCCCTGAAAGCTCACAGCAAAAGCCAACATAATATAAATACATAGAACCATACGACACGCTGAGCTCTTCTCTGATGCCTCAAATGATTCTAGGGCATATAGTTATGACTGGGGGATACCCTGAAGGCTGACTATGACTAATGAAATACCAAATATATCTAATTAATTGCATTGCTTTGGGCTAATGAGAGACCAGAAATTTCCAAACCCCTTGAGATGGTCAAAATATTTATATAGAATTGTGCTACATACCCACTCCTTTATCTCTCGTGCCTATCTCTTTGGACAGCTTCTGCTACACTGATTCAAATCTAACCACTGGGATTCTTCTTGAGAACTCTAACAGTGGAAAAGACCAGCATCACAGCAATTCCTGTCTTGCATTACATTAGAAGCTGTGCATTTTGGGTGCTCAGAAGTAGAAAATGCTATGTTCAGCCTACATTATCAATAGGAGAATCAGGACAGATAAGATTTTAAAATAATTAACAGCATACAAATTATACCCAGAGATATCAGAAACTTCCCCCCACAAGCACATACCCTAATGTAGTTAAAAATTCAGATTTGATAGTATTGAAGAGTGAAAGACATACATTTTATAGAAATCAGATTGTTAATATTGGAATTATAGCCAATGCTCAATTTATCCATGGTATGACATGAATAAGTACAATTCACACACAACTTAAAACTTTTGCAATTGGCTTCAATATTTTCCTTCAACAATTATTTATTAGAACTAGAAATACAAACTAATAATTCTACTTCTCTTCCATATACTGGTTATCTTTCTAAAAAGAAAGAAAAAATGGTAGCCAGTGGAGTCAGATGGGAGAATGAGGGGGGGTTGGTTAGAGGGAGCAGAGAGAGAAAACAGGAGATGTAAGGAGTAGGAGAAAAATAAGGTGAGCAGGCCTCAAGAAAAGGAAATGGGAAGGTGGTTTATAGAAGACTACAGGAAAAAAAAAATAAAAACAGATGTAATGAAAAATGCAAACTGGTTTGTGGGATAATTGAGTGAATGGTATTTATTCCTCATTTCTCTTCAAGAAACCACTGTTGATGACTTTCAGTAATGCCTCATTTCAATATGGTATTCTGCTGAACGTACCAACATATCTGCTAGATATCAGGTATGGTGCTCACGATCATACGGTCCATTTGCATGCGAGAAGCGACGCAACCTTATTAGAGAATAAACAGCCTGCTGTGTTTTGTTGTCTCAGGTAAATTTTTATCACAACTTCCAAAGGAGTTTAGGTCCTAAAGTTCCTTAACATTTCTGTTTTGAAACAGAAATGTGTATACTTCCTCTCGGCTAACATCCAATTTAACCGATAGAAAATTGAGCTAAGTAAGAACAAATCTAAAGATATCTTGGGGAAGCATCCAGTATTTTTTGGATCCTCAAGCCAATCAAAATGGAGAGAACAGAAGGTAGTGTAGGAATAAACGCGGCCTAGTTGCTGGCTCATCAAGTAATCGTAATAGTCAAAAAACACATAACAATCAATTTGAAAAATAATTCTATTCATTTGATAGCTGGCAAAAGAACTCAGCAAGGGGCTAGCATAAAGGACCATGAGGCTGCCTCTCAGAGGACTCACCTGTCTTTCCCAGTCTCCTTCTTAAAAATGCCATCGCAGTAACTCATGCGCTTCTCAGTAGTCACGTAAATTTGGGCATTCGGGTAGATGTCAACAGTCTTTTTCAGCATGTTGTAAACGATGCCATTGCCGTCTTTCCTCATATTGCGGAAAGGGCCCCAAATAACATAAATAGTAGCATTTGCTTCCTTGAAAAAATAATCAGGGTTTTTTAGCAAAAGAGGAACGCTGGTATGGGACACAACCCGAATCATTGTCATGCGGCCCACATCTTCTTCATAGCCCTTGGTGGGGGCGTTGTTCATTCTCCAAATGCAGGATGACTGATCTATCTCATTCCCCACCTTCTGGCCAACCATCTGACCTGAGTTTGACACTATGGCGCAAAGGTCACAGTCCAGTTGCAAAGGCTGAAAAACAGAGAAATGAGACAGGGGAGAGACATGTAAATTAGTAAGTTCCAGCCATCCAAATAAGTTCCTCTGAGAAAATTAAATTCAGATGTTGTGTATAGTCCCCGAGTGTGGGATTTTCTGAAATATTCGGACCAATCCTATAGCAGCTACCACAGGTTATCAAGGTAGGGACATGCTTCCATTTAAAAAGTGAATACAGACAGCTAAGAAATAATTTTAATTTCTATCCCCTTGTGTCTGTTTAAAATTAAATGGAAAAACAGTCATTTGTTTTCCATGCTAAATAATGACTTTTCATTTCAAAACCATAATTTCAAATGAAATAAGGCAATAGGAGAAGATTTGATCTCTTTAATAAAGACAGTGGCTAAAAAAAAGAAATGCAAAGGGAATATATCTAGGCCTCAATTCTGTATTTTACTTGTATGTATGAAGAGTTACATAGCAGTTGATGAATGAAAAATTCAGCAAATGACGAGGTTCTGAAAAAGATGTTCAGAACCAACAACTATTGAAGACAAGTCTCAGGTGGGCAAACATTTTATTAAAAACCCTTAGAAATTTCCCTGTATCACCATGTTAACTGGCCTTTGTGTTCTTATTTATTTTAGATGGATAATGAAAGGCTTCTTTTAAAAACTTGGGGAAGGGTTGTACAGAGATAATAATCTCTAGTGCTGGTCTAACCACCACCCTCCTTGTTTTAAACCAATGAGGTAACAGAGACTCATAGAGGGTAAAGCACCAGCTTCCAGAACTTGCAGATGATAGATTCAAGTTGTAGTGGCAGATTCAAATCTAGATCTTCTAGCTCTAAACCCCTTGCTCTTTCCATCATTCCCTACATTCCTTCCTCCCAGGCAAACCAAATAAATTCCTTTTGCCACTTTCCTCCTACGTGAGGAAAAGTCAGTCTATCTTTTAAAACAGTGTTAAAGGAGCAATGCACTCTGTTAATATACGTCTTTCTCATCTTCCTATTATGAGATTCCACATTTTGTATCTAACATTTGATTCTGTGTTTTTATTGTGCCTATTGGTCTAGTTCTTCTCACACTGAGTACTGCCCTTATTTTATTAGTTATGTTGTATTTTATTGTTTAATTATGTCTGTCCACTGTACAGTAAACTCTGTTAGGGTCTGTCTTTTTCATTTTAATCCCACTCCTGAGAAGTCCTGGGATGACTATAGGACCCAGTACAGTGGTTAAATTAGGCAGTGAGAACAACTGAATCAGACTAATTTACTAGGAAGCTGAACACTGAACTCAGTATTAGGGAAGAAAGGGACTTTTCCAAATTCATTGAGAATTGTTGATTTAGGCGAAAGAGAAACACAATCCAGAAGAAACCTATCAATACACAAACAGGTTCAGTCTAGGTAGGTAAATTGAGAGAGCAAGCACCTCAGAAAAGTCATCAGTAAAATTACCACACAACTGTCACAAGATGTCTTTCCTATCAATGGTAGGAATCCAAAGTAGTTATTGAGCAACTATGATATGCCATGTTCTAGAGGTTGGGGATGATTCAGCTGTGAAAATTTTAACCAAAACCCCTGACCTCATAGAGCTTACATACAACTTCTCCTCCACTGGGAGGAGAAAGGCAATTAATAAATCAGCATAGTATACGTTAGGTGAAGACAGGTGCTAAATAGAGGAAATTAAAGTAAGGAAGGGGGGTTAGGATGCATGTGTGTGTGTGTTGTGTGTTGTGTGTTATGTGTGTGTGTTAGTGGAATGATCAGAAAAGGTCTGCCTGGGGTTTGGTAGACAATGGTATTTGAGGAAAAACGGAGAAAATAAGAGGGCTGGCTATGGGGATTTGTGTGTGTGTGTGTGTGTGTGTGCGCGCGCGAAGGTGAGAGTGGGGAGTATTCCTGCAAAGTGAAATCAAAGCCACCACAACCACCCCATGGTAGGAGTGGAACACAAGGAGAGCAATGTGGCCTGGCAGGGCATTCAGGAGAGTCAGAGGGTACTGGGATCAGAGAGATGACCAGGGAGATACCACGTAGGCACTTTTACTCAGGAGCATTTGGAAGGCTCTGAATAGGGGAGGGGCTGATCTGCATTATATTTTAAAAGCACTAGCTGCAGTGTTAAAAACGACAAAGAGGAAAAGGGTAGAAACTCGGAGAATAGACTACTGTCACAATCATGGCAAGAGATGATAGTGGCCTGGACTAGGTAGGGTAGCAGAAGAAGTAGCAAGATGCTGGCCACACGCTGAACATATTCTGAAGGTAAAGCCTATTGGGTTGACCAGTAAGAGGAAATGTGGAATCTGAGAGATAGGGAAGAATCAAGGATAACTTCAGTTTTTAGCCTAAACAACTAGAAGACTAGAGCTGGCTTTAAATGAGGAGGCAAAGGCTTTAGGAGGAGCAGGATCAGCTGAGGAGAATGAGCTCCTTTCTAGACCTGTTAGATTAGAGATGCTTTGAACACAGACTCCCCGCAGCTAATATTATATCCCCCGCAGCTACTCAAACTCCTTTAAAACACGTTTTTCCCCTGATTATTGAAGTAATATGGGCTCACTGTAGAAACTTGGGGAAAAAAAAAAGAATAAAAACTCTCCATATTTCCACCACTTGACAACTGCTACAATCTTTCATGTTACTCTCCTCCTCTTAGATATATTAGACAGGTTGAAAAATAGTATTTATAAAATTTGGCAACCATGGTTTTTCAACTAATTTCCCATCATTAAATAATGCCAGTAAATAGTCATTAGAGATGTATTTTTTTAAAGATTTATTTGTTTTGGGGGCTAGGGACAGAGGGAGAAAATCTTTAAGCAGACTCCCACTGAGCACGGAGCACAAAGGCGAGGCTCAATCCTAGGACCCATGAGATCATGACCGTAGCTGAAACCAAGAGTGGGAGGCTTAACCAAGTGAGACACCCAGGCACCCCTCCTTAGAGATATTTTTAATGCTGATACAATATTCTCTTATGTGGACATACCATAATGTACCTATTGCCTACTGTTGGGCATTTGGGTATTATCTGATTTTTTCCCTTTGTATAATTGCTTTGATGAACATCTTGTGTTTCCCACTTTGGATGCTAGCAGTTATTCAGTTAATTTAACTTTACTTCTTTTAGTTTTTATTGTTCACCTGTGAAATACGCTAGATGGACAAATGTTTCCATTTGTTTCATGTCAAAATGAAGGATTTTGAAAAAACTTGACTGGTTACATCCACAAAGTTCTGCTTATGAAGTTTCTTTTTTCCTGTATAAAGAGATTCACTGAACTGTTAGAATCATGTAGGGTTTGAACAGGGCTGGACATGAAACAACATAGGCTCAGGCATGGACTGGACATGCCGCTGGGGTCTTGCCATTTATGAAGTGTCTTAAAACTTGGCTATCAAAGGGACTGTCCATCACCCCTGCTACAGTAAGATTTCTGAACAGCAGGTTAGAATAGTTCTGCTCGAGGTGGGTGAGTATATTAGGGCACTGGAAATGAGGTTCTGTGGGTGGTACCATAGAGAAGACCTCACTGATAGTCAGATGGGGACATAAGAGAATGCCTCTTGGGATGGGACTGTGATCTAAGACTTTCACGCATCTAGGAGTCACAGTTTTTCAGGGCAATGAGGAAGAACACAATATTCTTCCTGCCAAACGATTTGCAGCAGGGCCTAACTTACATTACACTTAGCTGAGTCCTCCAAACCCACTTACAGTCATGCAAATCAATGCCTGATTTAAACTGTGCGTGTCATATGACACACTCCAACTTATCACCGAGATGCATATGGCACAGGGAGGTTACATTCTATTTTCTGTTCCAAGAAGTTGCTTGACTGCATAATAAAAGCATTTTTGGGTATGGCCTCCACAAATTAAAAAAAAAAAAAAAATCAGAAAGAGAAAAGATAGAAAGAGCCTCAGATGTGTTCTAATCTACAGATTCGCATCAGATTTCCTAGTCGTTGAGTGAATTAGCTGGTCGTGCTGTAACAAGCCTTAATTTAGCTAATAAGAATCAGCATCCTGATTTCACTTGACAATTGTAACCTCTGAAAGTGATCAATTAAGACATCACAATCTGTTTCATGACAACATATCGGGAGGCTGCAGCTGTGCAGATTATGAGGTCAGCAGCTGACTAACAACTTGAGGGCAAACATTGGCAACCACTGCCTCTTGTTTATGTAACAAATATGGAATTGGGCAGAGGGCTGGGAATGTAATGGCTTGCAGGATAGGTGGTGACCCTGAAATCGTCCCTTTCTTTTATATATTGTGACCATAGCCAGAGTTGTAAGAGCCTTCCACGTACCTATCCTGCTTGGCCACAGGCCTGCCTGGCTGCCTGGCATCCTAAATGAGGTACCAGGAGACATGGCTGCATATGGTCACGCTCTATTTGCCACTTGGTGGCAGGGACCATTTTGCAGTACGTTGGGAGAGCCAGGCTAGATGAATGCAACAGTCCTAATCATAATCAGAAGCTTCAGGTAACACCAAGAGCTTGCTAAGGCCCAAGGGACTCATTTATACATTTGAAGACACTTCAAACTATGGTAAGCCATGATAAAAAAGAAATACCTAGGCACAAATAGACGGTTTGACCCAAGAGTTGCTTTTATCTGGTTATCTCAGTTCCTTTTATTAGTTTTATCCCTGCATCTTGTGATCTCAGCTTTCTTTGTTAAAATGTACTGCTGTTTCTTGAACTCGTTTATATTATTTGACTTGGGGCCCTTGCTCAAAAATGTATTCCATATGTCTCCACTGGCTCAGTTCTGCCTCAGTAAGCAGTTTCTTTCCAGATTGAGGCCCTGGATTTTCTGAGACCTTTGGAAAAGATTTAGCCAGCTCACTGTATCAAGTCCTATCTTAATTTTGAATTCTCCTTTTTAGTTGACTTGTCCTTATTTTTTTGTTTCTTTTCTTAAAAACAAACTTGACCTCTTCATCTTTTTCTCTTGTTCACTCAAAGCATTATCAAGACAAATGTTTTGGCTG